AACAATAATATCCCCAAAGCGGCTTTCGCTCCATCCAGCAGTCTCTAAACGTGAAGAAGAAATCCCCCCCAATAACGAGACAGAAGCTCCGCATTGAGGGTCAAATAAGATCTGGGTTTACTGTGGGCTACCTGCCCGTATTTATGCAGGTCTCCCACCTGGTGGACACTCCCCTAAGGGACCAAATGGAAGACTTAAAGTACAGACAGATAGAAGGACATTTCTGACACACAGTCACATATTTTACCCACAGTGCATTCTGATTCCCTCCCCTCTGTCCTGGAGTTAATTACCAAGTAACTCAATTAACTCCAGGACAAGGACAGTCGCCATCTTAGACATAAAATAATAAAAGACATAAAAATACATAACTACATGAAAACTGAACATTTCCCATTCGTATTACATGTCCCCAGATAGCCTGGATCTGAGTGCATATTATTAGCGAATAGCGCTCAGATCCCACACACATAGTTTAATCGCCATGGAGTCAAAGTTCTTACAGTCTTTCGGTATACGAATGACTCCATGGGAGGGCTATCTGGGTTAAGTCTTTCGTATGTTCTCAATCTCCCGAATGGCCGGTGTTCGCATGCTTTCGTGGAGGCAGCCAGGCGTTCCCTTGTTTCAGCGGTGTTCGGCAGAAAAAGTGTCCGTTTTCAGTTCCATAGAATTAGAGCCAAACACCGCTGGGCGTTCGTGTGATTTAAAATGGCCGCTGCCTTGTGGTCGACATACGAACGACGACCACCCTGAATTCGGTTTAATTGAGAAGTGTCTGCGGTTAACCACAACGTTCTAATTGGGATCACTTCGTTAACCAGCAGCACACTCCTCACTTGGGTGGCCATTCGTTCGGCAGGTTTGTTCGGGAAAAAGAGTCATTCGAATGGCTGGGCTATAGAAACCAGCCATTCATACGAACGGGGGACAAACAGACGAACGTGGTAAAAATCCAAGCAGACAGATGGTCCTGTCACAGTGTGTGTGCGCATGGACTCAGTAGTCTATGTGTGTGTGTATGGACATAGCAGTCTGTGTATGTATGCATGGACTCAGCGTGTGTGTGTGTTTGTGTGGACTCAGCAGTCTGTGTGTGTGTGTGTGTGTGTGTGTGTGCGCATGGACTCAGCAGTCTATGTGTGTGTGTGTGTGTATGGACTCAGCAGTCTGTGTGTGTGTGTGTGTGTGTGTTTGTGTGTGTATGGACCCAGCAGTCTGTGTGTGTGTCTGTGTGTGTATATGGACTTTGCAGTCTGTGTGTGTGTGCATGGACTCAACTTGGTGTGTGTGTGTATGGACTCAGCAGTCTGTGTGTGTGTGTGTGTGCATGGACTCAGCAGTCTGTGTGTGTGTGTATGGACTCAGCAGTGTGTGTGTATGTGTATGGACTCAGCAGTGTGTGTGTATGGACTCAGCAGTCTGTGTGTGTGTCTGTGTGTGCATGGACTCAGCAGGGTGGTGTGTGTATGGACTCAGCAGTCTGCATGTGTGTGTGTATGGACTCAGCAGTCTGTGTGTGTGTATGGACTCAGCGGTCTGTGTCTGTATGGACTCAGCAGTCTGTGTGTGTATGGACTCAGCAGTCTGTGTATGGACTCAGCACTCTGTGTGTGTGTGTATGTGTGCATGGACTCAGCAGTGTGTAGGTATGGACTCAGCAGTCTGTGTGTGTGTGTGGACTCAGCAGTGTGTGTGTGTATGGACTCAGCAGTCTGTGTGTGTGTATGGACTCAGCAGTCTGCGTATTTGTGTGTGTATGGACTCAGCAGTCTGTGTGTGTGTGTGTGTGTGCATGGATTCAGCAGTCTGTGTGTGTGTGCGCGCATGGCTCAGCAGTCTATGTGTGTGTGTGTGTGTGTATGGACATAGCAGTCTGTGTATGTGTGCATGGACTCAGCGTGTGTGTGTGTGTATGGACTCAGCAATCTGTGTGTGTGTGTTTATGGACTCAGCAGTCTGTGTGTGTGTGTGCGCATGGACTCAGCAGTCTATGTGTGTGTGTGTGTGTGTGGACATAGCAGTCTGTGTATGTGTGCATGGACTCAGCAGTGTGTGTATGGACTCAGCAGTGTGTGTGTGTGTGTGTGTGTATGGACTCATCAGTCTGTGTGTGTGCATGGACTCAGCAGTTTGTGTGTGTGTGTATGGACTCAGCAGTGTGTGTGTATGTGTATGGACTGAGCAGTGTGTGTGTATGGACTCAGCTTGGTCTGTGTGTGTGTCTGTGTGTGCATGGACTCAGCGGGGTGTGTGTGTGTATGGACTCAGCAGTCTGTGTGTGTATGTGTGTGTGTATGGACATAGCAGTCTGTGTGTGTATGGACTCAGCAGAGTCTCTGTGTGTGTGTGTATGGACTCAGCAGTCTGTGTGTGTGTGCATGGACTCAGCAGTGTGTGTGTATGGACTCAGCAGTCTTTGTGTGTGTATGTGTGCATGGACTCAGCAGTTTGTGTGTGTGTATGGACTCAGCAGTCTGTGTGTGTATGTGTATGGCCTCAGCAGTCTGTGTGTGTGTGTGTGTGTGTGTGTGTGTGTGTGTGCATGGACTCAGCAGAGTGTGTGTATGGACTTGGCAGTCTGTGGGTGTATGTGTTTATGGACTCAGCAGTCTGTGTGTGTGCATGGACTCATCAGTCTGTGTGTGTGTGTGCGCATGGACTCAGCAGTCTATGTGTGTGTGTGTGTGTGTGTATGGACATAGCAGTCTGTGTATGTGTGCATGGACTCAGCAGTGTGTGTGTGTATGGACTCAGCAGTGTGTGTGTGTGTGTGTATGGACTCAGCAGTCTGTGCAGGGCCAGATTAAGAGCCCAGTGGGCCTGGTGCTGACAATTATGACGGGCCTAATTACAGAATCAAATCGACCAAAAACAGTAAAACACTCCCAAGCGTCATGTATCTGATGGAGATGGTGCTGGAGAGAAAGAAAACAGCAGCTATAACAAAACACATACTCTAGGCTAATCTCTCTCTAATTTATGTTTTCATCTTTCAAGTAAATCCATAACCCCTAACAGTGCTGTCCAGTCAAGCAGGAATTCAATGGGCATGGGTGTGCCACTGACACAAATCACAAAAGACACCAAAAAGAGGACATGTCTGCTCAAAGAATTAGAAGGCCAGCTTGGCATGAATGCATGTCAGGCTGCCTGACATTCATGCAGCTGGCCAACTAAGGGCATACTGTGCAGACAGCACCCTGAGCTTGGCATAAATGCATCTAATGATTCACTCACTCAACGCCTTCTAAAGACTGTCCCCTAGCACTCGCTGGTGCATTTGTCTCCTTACCGTCTTACTAGCAGGCAGAAGCTCCTGGTATATAGTCTGGGACAAAGAAAAGCTGTATGTAGTGAGTGTAGAAGAAAGGGAACATGCCACAGTGTTAGAGAGACCAAAGTCAGCATTACCTTAAAGGATCACTATAGGGTCAGGAACACAAATATGATTTCATGACCCTATAACACCACCATCTAGCCCCCCTGGGCCCATCATGCCTCCATAAATATAGCAAAATCTTACTATATTCAAGCCTGAAGCTGTAACTCTACATGCTGTTAGACTCATAAAAACAAGCAGTCTGCTGACATCATTAGAAGTGGTGGCCTGATCCTGACTGACAAAGAGACTGAGACTGACAAAGAGGCAGATCAGGGTCAGAGCCAGCATGATTCATACACAGCCCTGGCCAATCAGCATCTCCTTATATAGATGAATTGAATTAATGAATCTCTATGAGGAAAGTTCAGTGTCTGCATGCAGAGGGAGGAGACACTGAATGTTTGGATGCATTTTAGGCAGCCATGACCCAGGAAGGATCTCTAACAGTCATCTAAGGAGTGGCCAGTAAGGTTACCACTAGGATGTAATGTAAAGACTGCATTTTCTCTGAAAAGACAGTGTTTACAGCAAAAAGCCTGACGGTAATGATTCTACTCACCAGAACAAATTCAATAAGCTGTAGTTGTTCTGGTGACTATAGTGTCCCTTTAACTATATTTATTGTCAGCCAGTCCACACAAGTTTTGTTCCCATGCATCCCTCTTAAGTTTCCATACTTAAGTAAAAGTATGTGAAAAGTAGTTAGGGTTGCCACCTTTCTTGGAAAAACATACCAGCCTTACTAATTTGCATAATTAAATATGTATGGGTGACATCACATGATGTAAATCACAAGGAGTGACATAAGAGAAAATGCTGTAAAATCACCAAAAAACTACTTAGTTTGATTCTGCTGTATAGATGGATTCCTCCCAGTGCCCCCATGTCTCCCAGTGCCCTCATGACTCAGTGCCCCCATGTGTCAATTACTCCAGGTCTCAGTGTTCCTATGTATCAGTGTCTCAGTGCCCCATGTCTCCCAGTGTCCCCTAGTGTCGTGTCCCCAGGTCTCCCAGTGATCCTATGTATCACAGTGTCTCAATGCCCCATGTCTCCCTGTGTCCCCATGTATTCCAGGGTACCCATGTCACTAGGACACTAGGAAGACGAGGATACCTGGGGACACCTAGGGACACAGAGACACCAGTGACACTGGGAGACTAGGGGACTCTGGCTGGGACAAATTGGGACAATGGGAAAATAGGGGACACTTGAAGACATGGGGACACAGACACTAGAGACACTGACTGGGGGACATGGGGACATTGAGACATGGGGACACTGAGACACCAGGGCCACAGACACTAGGGACACTAGCTTGGAGACATAGGGACATTGTGACACTTGAGGCACTGAGAGACATGGAGGCACTAGGAGACATGGGGACAGTGAGACACTGGCAGACTGGGGGCACTGGGAGACTAGGGGGCACTGGGAGACTAGGGGGCACTGAGACACCAGGAACACTGGCTGGGAGACATGGGGACACTGTGTCCGCATGTGTCTGTGTCATGTCTCCCAATGTCCCTTAGTGTCTCAGTGTATGTCTCCTTGCAGCCTTTCCCCCCATCCCTTACTTCCCTGAGCTGTAGGCTGTCTCTGCAGGGTGGGAGTTGCTGTCTGGACTCTCTGTAGCTGCACCCCTGCAGATCAGTGAGTATAGATAGGCAGGGAGGGATATGCTGGAACTTCCTATCCCTGCTTGTCTCCACATACAGCGACCCCTACTGGCCAGTGCTGGTATTGCATAGTAATCTCTTGTTTATACTGAGAAAAATACCAGCATTTGTATTGCCAGTATCACTCCAATATTGGCACCAGCCAGGCAGCCCCAAATACTGGCTGTGCCAATCAAATAAAAGCCAGGTGGAATACCTAAGAGTAGTGTGTGAAAAAAAAAATGTAAAAAAAAAAAACTTTTTAAATCAATAAGACTATTCCATGGGCCTGGGCCTGGAGCTGCAGCTCCATCAGCCCCTATGTTAATCCGGCCCTGTTAAAGGGACACTATAGTCACCAGAACAACTACAGCTTATTGAATTTGTTCTGGTGAGTAGAATCATTACCTTCAGGCTTTTTGCTGTAAACACTGGCTTTTCAGAGAAAATGTAGTGTTTACATTACAGCCTTGTGATAACTTCACTGGCCACTCCTCATATAGCTGTTAGAGATCCTTCCTGGGTCATGGCTTGGAGGAAAGACGAGACGGGCGGATATGATAGAAACATTTAAATACATAAAGGGAATCAACACAGTAAGGGAGGAGACTATATTTAAAAGAAGAAAAACTACCACAACAAGAGGGCATAGTCTTAAATTAGAGGGACAAAGGTTTAAAAATCATATCAGGAAGTATACTTTACTGAGAGGGTAGTGGATGCATGGAATAGCCTTCCAGCTGAAGTGGTAGAGGTTAACACAGTAAAGTAGTTTAAGCATGCGTGGGATAGACATAAGGCTATCCTAACTATAAGGCCATGGACTAATGAAAGTATTTAGAAAATTGGGCAGACTAGATGGGCCGAATGGTTCTCATCTGCCGTCACATTCTATGTTTCTATGGCTGCCTAAAATGCATCCAAACATTCAGTATCTCCTCCCTCTGCATGCAGACACTGAACTTTCCTCATAGAGATTCAATGATTTAATTAATCTCTGAGGAGATGCTGATTGACCAGGGCTGTGTTTGAATCATGCTGGTTTTGCCCCTGATCTGCCTCTTTGTCAGTCTCAGCCAATCCCATGGGGAAGCACTGTGATTGGATCAGGCTACCACTTCTGATGATGTCAGCAGACTGCTTGTTTTTTTCTGAGTCTGACAGCATGCAGAGTTACAGCTTCAGGCTTGAATACAGTAAGAGTTTGCTACATTTATGGAGGCATGAGGGGCCCAGGGGGACTAGATGGTGGTTTTAACACTTTAGGGTCAGGAATACCTTTAAATAAAATTTTCATGCATACACCAACTAACTAGAAAATTACCCATGAAACACCAATGTTAAAGGGACACTATAGGAACCCAGACTACTTCAGGTCACTGAAGTGGTCTGGGTGCAGTGTCCAAGGTCCCTTAACCCTAAGCAGGTAATTATTGCAGTTTTTGAGAAACGGCAATGATTACCTGCTAGGGTTAACTCCACCTCTAGTAGCTGTCTACCAGATAGCCGCTAGAGGGATTTTCAGGCTGTTAGGTGTCTTTTGGTCATCTTACTGATGCTGGACGTTCTCACACTATGCATGGGGACATCCAGCGTAACCCAAAATCCCATAGGAAAGCATTGAATGCACATTAGGTCTCCCCCGCCGTCTGACGTCGGTGGGGGAGGAGAGAAGGCGGACCCGAGACAGTGCCAAGGGACATCTGCGCTGGACCCAGGTAAGTGACAAAAGGGGTTTTTAACTTCCATTTGCACAAGTTTGTTTTCCTGGCACTATAGTAACAAGTTTAAAACACCAAGTTATTTTCTAATGAATCACCTGTAACACACCATATAAAACCTTTTTTTATTATTATTATTATTATTATTATTATTATTTTATTAAATTATTCATACAGTAGACTGTATCAAACTACATATTAATAATTATTGGTAAAACATGATGGCAGTAGAAGTTCTATGGCTTTCTATTGAAAACCTTTATTCATATACAAGGCCTGTACATGCAAGTTCATTTCCCCCCAGTAGATTTTCCCGTGAATTGTTTCATTAGACTTGCAAAAGCACTGTGCGTTAATCTTGCCAAAATATTGTTTAACATCTAAGAAGCTGATTGCTTTAGTATTGTTAGGACACACAGCGGTATCTAGGACACTCTGTAATATTTTGGTGAGATTAACTTGCAATAATTTTGCAAGTTCCATAAAACAATCTTGCTGGCAAAAGGGAACTCATTGATAAAGAGACGGATCCGCAATGTTTTAAACAAGTGTATCTAATTTTGCTGTGTTATTAGCTTTCTTCAATGTGGATTGCAAAGAAATAAAAGTTCCCATTTAAAATGCATAACATATGTTGGGAGAGGGTGCAAAAAAAATATGCATTCATATTTCCAAATGCACCTTTTTGCTAAATATTTTCATTTATTCCCCTCTGCCAACATGTCATACACTTTTGAATTTTTTTATGGAGTGAACCTCCTTTTCTTCTGTTTTAAACTTAGAGAAGGCCCAGTGACAGCACTGATCTATGGAGTTTTTCATTTTTAAAAACAAATATGAAAGATTCTATGGAAAAATAATGGAACATGACGTTCAACAATGCTAACGGAACATGGACACAAATAGAACATATATAAATATCAGTATAGAAGTTTATTAAGCATCTGTTCTTTTGACTGTGAAACTAATAAGAGGCTATCTATCAAGATTCCATGAAGACCAAAGGCTGATTTGTGGACTAAATAATTGCACTTAGGAATCAAGAAAGATTTTTGCTAGTTTTATCTGTGGTTATTAAAGAATTGTATTCAGTTACTACCATATTAATATTATTACATTAAACATAATATTATTCTGCCAGTCACAAGTTGACAATAATTACAACACTTAGAATTGACATGCTTTGGAATATGACCAAAAAAAATATGCAGTGTAATGCAATGTAATGCCATATTTTCTATCACAAGTTGGCACATACTAAAGAGATAGCACATTCAAATATGGAACATCAAGTGCACTAATAAAAACTTATCAATGTTTCCAGTTGGGGTGTGTTTTGATCTAGTGTACTCAGGTTTTTGGCAATATCCCTTTGGGGACATGCTGTCAAGAAGCCAAGTATAGAATAAGAGCAAAGAAATATTTAATAAGATTCCATTAAAATACTGTTCTAGAGGCTGTGTAAATGTGTATATATGTAAATAAAATATACATAATATATTCCACACCTTCTATTTTTCTTGTTCTTGTTTAATTTCTATAGGCATAGCTTCTGTAATATATGATTTAACATTATTAATACTAATAAAACAAAATGCTGAATAGCAAATTTCAAGTGACATCAGAGTATATATAACATATATTGACACACAAATATATACATCTATACTATCAGTGTCAAAATTGAAAATATTAAAAATGCAACTAAACATCCAAAATACTTTATCTAATGTAAAAACAGTTGACCCCAGATACCACTGCCCAGAATATTTTATATTTATTTTGCAAAGTAATACAACCATTTCAAGATTCATTGATAATTTCCTTCGGATATGGCTATTAAAAGGACTATAGAAGGAGAATAATTAAAATAAATATTTATTCTGGTGATATCTCCTATACAAATCTTTTAAGACAACACATTTTCTTTTATATAATATTTATATAATATTAGCTTAGTTATTCTAGACAGCTTTATAACTTAAGTATGAATTGTATTAATAATTAACACTGGAACTGAAGCTGAATTAACTTAATTAAAGAACAGTCTGTTGATTCATCCCCCTTAAAAAGATAACTGGCAGGTTTAGCAGCTCAGAAAACTATGCATGTTGTATTAGGTAGATACATTGGGTTACTAACATAATTTAATTTAGATTTACTCACAGGATAATTTGGATATCACTACAGAATTACCAAGATCTAACTTTGCAAATAGCTCATCAACTCATTTAACTTGGTTGGTGAAATAATTCCACAATGTTCTGTCTACCATAAGCTGTGTGGTGAAATATGGATTGTTGAAATATTAGTATATTTTATAATTTTAGTACAGCACAAAATAATTCAAATATAATTTAAATTATAATACTGGTATTAATATTGTTAATATTATTATTAAACAAATATAAAATAAAAGAGGGAACCATAATATATATATTATATATATATATATATATATATATATATATATATATATATAGATAGATAGATAGATAGATATCTATATATATATATATCTATATATATCTATATATATATGTATATATAGATATATATATATATATATCTATATATATATATATATATATATATATATATATATATATATAAACCACCACTTAAAATACATAAGTGGAGCACTTATATAAATAATAATAAATATAAATAAATATACACTAGAATTATAGGGAACAAAAACACATCTGTATGTCTTGCAGGAACCAATTTTAAAAAAACAGTGTGAATTCAGGCTTGTCTGCCCTCTAGTGGTATGTCTGCTTAATGGTTATCTTCTAGAGTGAATCCACCTTATAAAATGAACAAATTAAATCTTATTTTATTA